TAATTTTATAAACTAGGTATTATTAGATCACATTACTTTAAGCATTAGGTATGAATTTTATATCTACCATAACATTGCCAAAACTAGCTGGTTATAATTTTAAAGACTTTCTAAAATGCTGGTTGGGCAATACACTGACTTGCTTCTATAAATATTTGATTATGGACTAGTATAGTTCATGCATGGAAAAATTCTTCCAAAAATAAAAAAGCAGCATTTCCCAAATCTCCAACATATGTGTACATTGACTCACTTATACTCTTCCGCACCGAAGACATATGGCATACTGGAGTTGCTTGCTTAATAACTAAATCTCACTGTTAAAGATATTTTAGCTGAAAATCAGTGTACAAGGGTGCACAAAAGTAGGTTTACAGTTGTGAGTATGCAAAACAGTTTAATCTTGTATTTTTATATATTGATTATTGTATTATTTCCCCTACAAATAAATATAGACCTGCTTTTGCCCACCCCTGTGTAATAAACATTTACCATTTGAACATTGAAAATACACAGCTCTGTTCCAAACAATGTGAAACATGTTAAAAGTAACCTGATGTGTAAATAGAATAACGTACATCTATATATTCATAATGTTGCTATCTATATTATAAAAACCCAGTGGCCCTAACGCCATAACGACCAAAGACTGGCGCAGGTGGGCGAGGCTGCACAATTTCACGCGCTGGGCTTCTAATATATATGTCATATAAGTGAACACAGTACATATTTGCAAATCATTCTGGGTAAAGAGGCAAAAAATGAGTGAGAAGTAAAAAATAGTGCTGCTGACAACTGAATGAAGGTAGAAAAGCATAGAAATATCTCAAAAAATGTTCTTTAGTAGTCAGGTGTTAAATAAAGGTTTAAAACTTAGACTAAGATTAACTGATAAGAGCACAGTAACTCAATCTTGGGTAAAATGAGGTCCACTAAAAAAAAGAGCCCCTATGTGAGATAATGTATTTTATTGTGTAGTAACTTAAATATCTACACATGTACATTATTTCTCATGCAATTATAAAACCAAAACAAATTTACAGATACAAAGATACAAAGCCAATAGCATTTAAATTGGCTTTGACAAATGAATTTTTTGCTAAAAATAAATCTGACTAAAAGTGTAAGTTTTTTCTCAGTTTTACTGTAAGTTGACAACTAATACTGTATATATTTAAGATGTGCAACTTGACAATTTGATATACATATATCTCAATATGAAAATATCAATCAATAAATAACCTGATTTTTAAAAAGGCCAAAAGACCTAAATAGATTATTCAAAAGAAGACATACAAATGACCAACAAGTAAATGAAAAGTATATGCTCAACTTCACTAATCATCAGGCAAATAAAAAAACAAAACAAAATGAGATACCACCTCACACCTGTTAAACAAAAGATGTTAAGTCGTGGTAAGAATGTAGAGAAAGAGGTACCCTTGAATGCTGTTGGTGAGAATGTAAATTGGTACAGCCACTACGGAAAAGAATATGGAGCTTCCTAAAAATTAAAAATAGAACTACTTTATGATCCAGCAACCCCACTTTTGAGAAAGTAAGTTAACTTTTAAATACAAGCATGTAATCTCAAGTCAATGTACTCTTTCATCTGTGTTAACATTCATGTTAATAGAAGTATGTGGTACAAAAAAGATATCAATAAAGTTATAACATTTGGGGGAAGGCCACAATGGTGAAAATTCAATGAGATGATACATTTCAAGCTGGTTCAGGACCTCATATTTAAGCATATTTGACCAAAATCTCAGCCAGTATTTAAACATTGAATACCAGTTTTAATGAGATATGAAGCTGTGCTGGTTATTTCAAGATAATGTTAGCAATACCATCTTGTTAAAATCTGCATTAGTTTTGTATTTAATCCAATCATACCAGAATGGAAAATAGAAAAATTATATCTAACGTTAATTTTTAATTTTTAAGTCTTACAGATTGAAAATAAATCAAAATTCAGTTTTAGTAAATAACTTATCCAAATGTTGATGAACACCAGAAAATACTGAAAATGGCTCATTTACAGCACTTTGAAAACAACCTGGTCATAAATCAAGTTTTTTCTTTTGAACAAATGCTTTGGCTTCTATTATTTAAACTATTAAAACCTCTGCTCATTCAGTGTTCTGTTCACTTGGAATGAATATATAATTTATGTATCAAGTCTGCCTCTGCTCTTTTATCCTTGACTATGACAACTAAAGCAATGCCTACTGTCATTTTCATGATGTGAAATCCAAGTCTTAATTTATTAAATAACTTAAGAAACAGACTTTTATTCTAGGAAAATGTCATGCCTTTGTTCATTCAAGTTAGAATCTCATGTGAGTCCACACATGGTATTTCAATCCCAAAGTGCCCCACCCAGAACATTCAGAGACTGCCACGGCCTGAGTGACCAATACACACAAGGCCAAGGTCAACCAAGGTCCTCTGGGGAATCCAAGAATTCAAAATAAGGCTAGGCTATGCTGGAGAGTAAAGTTATAGTCACTTAAAAGATATCTCTAGCACTCTCACCAGAACAAATTTCCCCCAAGCTAACGTCCTGGTTTAGCTACCAATTTGTGAAACTTGGCCATATCTAAACCTAATGCTTAGAATAACCAGCATACCACTTGTGGAAGACCCAGACAATGTTGGAATTGTGCTGAAATCCATTGATTGAGGCATGGTGGATGCCTACTGTTCCCATGAATGAACATGTTTGCAGTGGATTATGTATCACAACTCATAGCCACACAGCATTTCCTGGGGCCTATGCTTACTGCGCTCATGACTGCCTTTTGGGGAGTCTCTGAGTTTACTGGTTTCTTGGTAATTGCATGAGGTTTGTTGTGGCTTTGGTGGTTCCTTTCAAATTAAGTCCTATACTGAATTGAATTTTTTTCTTTTGTATTACTACCCCAATTTTCTAGAGTCACCCAAAAAACTTCAAAAAAACTTTTTCAAAGCTACTTACAACCAGCTGGCCATTCAAATGGCTAGCTGAAACTAATTGAGTAGTGAGGTGAAGAGTGTCCCCCTAAACTCTATGTCCATTCAAAACATTAGTATGCAACCTTATTTAAAAACTAGAGGCCTGATGCACAAAATCCGTGCAAGGGGCTCGGCCCTTGCAGCCCTGGCTGCCTCGGCTGGCCCTCGCAGCCCCAGCTTCATCTGAAAGGTCGTCTGGATGGCTGTTCTGCTGTTCGGTCTAATTAGCATATTAACTCTTTATTATATAGGACTAGAGGCCCGGTGCACGAAATTTGTGCACTCTGGGAGGGGGTGAGGGTAGGTCCCTCAACCCAGCCTGTGCCCTCTCACAGTCTGGGAGCCCTTGAGGGATGTCCCACTGATAGTGGGGGAGCAGGCCTAAGCCAGCAGTCGGACATCCTTAGCACTGCCGTGGAAGCAGGAGAGGCTCCCGCCACTGCCACTGAGCTCGCCAGCTGTGAGCCTGGCTCAGGGCTTCTGGCTGAGCGGCGCTCCCCCCGTGGGAGCATCTGCCCCCTGGTGGTCAATGTGCATCATAGCGACCGGTTGTTCCACCATTCAGTCGATTTGTATATTAGTCTTTTGTTATATAGGATAAGGTATTTTGAAGATGTAACTAGTTGAGAGGAGGTCATACTAGATTAGTGGGGGCCCTTAATCCAATTACTGGTGTCCTTAAAATAAGAGAAGGCCCACAGAGGCACACAAAAAGAAGGCCATGTGAAGACAGGAGTTGAGATTGGAATGATGCATTGATAAGCTAAGGAATTCCAAGAATTATCAGGAATCACCAAAAGCTAGGAAGAGGCAAAGAAAGACTTTTTCCTAGAACCTTCAGAGAGATCAAGGCCTACTGACACCTTGTTTTGAACGTGGCCTCCAGAACTGTGAGACAATACATTTCTATTGTTTCAAGCCACCAAGGTTGTGGTCATTAATTACTACAAACTAGGAAACTGATACAAACTCCAAAGTACTTAGGGCTCTTTTTCATTTATTTCTGTAAAGCCCACTATGACAATAAAATCAAAGGAGGAAAGTCAGGCAGTAACAAACTCTTTGACAGAAGCACTGGGGTGGTTAATAAATGCATCTGTAAATGAGCTTCCCACCTCACTCCTGTCCTTCATCTCTTCTATCAGGTGCATCCTATTGTACAGTGTGAAATACGTATGAGACAGTGCCATCCACTTATTTAACCTCTATGAAGGTTAACATTACAGAAGGAAGAGATATCCCATGAAATAAATTTCCTTTCTTTTCTATTTTTTAAAAATATATATTTTTATTGACTTCAGAGAGGAAGGCAGAGGAAGAGAGAGATAGAAACATCAATGATGAGAAAGAATCATTGATTGGCTGCCTTCTGCATACCCCCTACTGGGGATCGAACCTGCAACCCAGACAAGTACCCTGACCGGGAATTGAGCCATAATCTCCTGTTTCATAGGTCAATACTCAACCGGCTAGGCCCTTCCTTTGCTTTTTCTTTTATTTACTTATTTTTTGTTTCCCATTGGTGACGATTTCATGCTACATATTTTTCTATAGTCCTGGAATTCCTTTCCATTTCAAGTCCTTTCTTTATACCCCTTTATATCTTCAAAATAATTCAAGTTAATGACATCATGCTGAATGTTATCAGTCTATAATATTTATCACATAACATTATTCAGCATTCATAAATTAATAGGTGCCTTGTTTTGGGCTCAGTCACTCATAGGTGGCATTATAGACCCTACTCTGGCCTTCACGGAGCTGGTAGAAAGGCCACCTAGCTCCTTCCCAGATATTCCAAGACTTTGTGCCTTACACAATTTATTTCACTTTTTAAATATTCTTATGCATCATATTTTTATCAATCTATAGAGTGAAACCCTATTTAAAAAGACTTCAATATAGATGAAATAAAGAGATGTTTCGCTTTACTGAAATTAATATACTGATTTAGATTTTCAATGCATTTTGGTTTCTAGCTTAAGTAACAGGGGAAGGCTCACCTTGACAATCCCCCGGATGTGCATTTTGGCAATCATCTCTGCTGTGTAGAGAAACATCAATAAAGTATCCAGAGTAAAGGTCACATACTGAAGAGGAGGATAGTGTTCGAACGTCATGGGTGTGTTCATACAGACAGAGATGACGCTGATGATGGCACAGATGCGCAGCAAAGAGTGAACCCACTGCAAAATAGTCCAAAGTGATTATTCGACGTCATAAAATGGTATCTTAAACTTGCATTATGAACCACAGCATTTGGAAAACATAATATTGAGATTGAAATATTTCACCAGTATGAAAAAGGAAACCAATGTCTGTTAAGTGCATATAAAATATTTCACATATTTTACATAACTTAATTCTCAAATCAGCCTAATTTTCACATCAACACACTAAGACTCAGGAAGATTAAGAAACCTTTCTGTGGTCATGCATTAATAAAAGCCAAAATCTAGATGTGACATTGCTCAGGCCTCAATACAGGGTGATTTTGATTCAATTAAAATGTTAGGAACTTATTCATATGGAAACTTGATGTACTGTTACTTTTAAACTTTTTACTGTTTAAAACATAGAATAGAGACCATATTATGTTTATTGGTATCTAGCACAAATCACAAATGCTTTTTAAAATGAAATGATGCATAACTCTGCCCATATATAGGGTTTTCTTTCCATATGGATCTTAGATGTAACATTCTTAAAAATATATTTTAAAATCTGATATCAGCCTACATTTTCAAAAGATAATAAATGGACCTTCCTCTTTACTTAGGAAAATTATACAAATTTAGCCAAGTTATCTTTTCCAAAATTCCAAAAAAATAAGTTTCTGTGCAATTCATTCTAGCCGTGTATATGCTGTGTGAAGATTTTCCTTAAACCCAACATAGAGAAGTAGGAATTAAAAAGATAAATGTGTGGAAACCATAAAAATATTAGAAGAAAACATAGGCAGTAACATCTCAGACATTTCACATAGCAATATTTGTTCTGATATGTCTCCTTGGGCAAGAGAAACAAAGGAAAAAACAAACAAATTGGACTACATCAAACTAAAAAGCTTCTGCACAGCAAAAGAAACTATCAATAAAATGAGAAGGGAACCCACTGTATGGGAAAACATATTTGCCAACAATACATCTCATAAGGGGTTAATATCCAAAATATTTAAAGTACTTATACAACTCAACACCAGGAAGACAAATAATCCAATTAAAAATCGGCAAAGGACCTGAATAGACACTTCTCCAAAGGGAACATAGAGATGGCCGATAGACATGAACAAATGCTCAATGTCACTAATCATCAGATAGATGCAAATTAAAACCATAATGATATATCACCTCACACCTGTCAGAATGGCTATCATCAATAAATTAACAAACAATAAGTGCCGTTGAGGATGTGGAGAAAAAAGAACCTTCATGCATTGTTGGTAATGCAGACTGGTACAGCCACTGTGGAAAACCATATGGAGTTTCCCCCTAAAATTAAGAATGGAACTGGCTGTTCCCCCAGTGACCCCACTTCTGGGAATTTATCTGAAGGAACCCAAAACACCAATTCAAAAGAATATATGTACCCCTATGTACACACAGTGCTATTTACAATAACCAATATCTGGAAACAGCCCAAGTGCCCATCAGTAGATGAGCAGATAAAACAGCTGTGGTACATTTACACCATGGAATACCATGCAGCATTAAAAAAGGAAATCTTATCTTTTGCAACAGCATGAATGGACCTAGAGATTATTATGCTAAGTGAAATAAGTCAGTCAGAGAAAGACAAACACCACATTATCTTGCCTTTTATAGTATCTAATGAACAAAATAAACTAACAAAATAGAAACATAGGCATGCATACAGGGAACAGACTGACAGCTGTCAGAGGAGAGGGGCCTGGGAGACTGGATCAAAGGAGGTAAAGGGATTAAGCAAAAAGCGGTAGGTATATAACACATAAACACAGAGAACAGTGTGGTGATAGGCAGAGGGAAAGTAGGGTGGGGCTAGGTGGAGGTAGGCAGAGAGGGGGATGGGAACAGAGAGTTTGCTTGGGGCAATACAGTGTGCAGATGATGTTTTACTGAGTTGTACACTTGAAACCTGTACCCCAATAAATTAAATTAATTAATTAATTAATTAAGATAAATGTGTGTATGCATGTGTGTGTTTGTGTGTGTGTGTATACCTGTGCATGTGTGTAGGACATACAATTACTCACATACACTATTTTATTATAAAAATAATACCTAAGATAAAACATATTGGTTGTACCTTTATGCCCAAACCCAGTTGGTATTACTGTTTAATTAATTAGTAGACAATTCTTCAATATCATTTAAATGTTATTTGTTAATCTTTTAATATTATACTCCCCTTGAACAAAAGCTGCTTTGTGTAGTAGGTAGGCCCTGCATCTATGCAAGCTGGCAAGCACCCAAGATGAAAAAATAGAAAAGACTGTCAGAACTTTGAAAAGATTCAGACACTTGTAGGCTGGTGGGTGGGTTTTAATATTAATCTGACAGTTATAGTATTTGCATGAAGATGTAATGCCACTAATGTCATACCATATAAGTCACTGCTGATTGATGTACTTTTCATGCAATTAGGAACTGCTTCAGTAAACATCAGTGTGTGAATTTAGATCCAACACAAAAGATCTAATTACACAAAAGAGCTCAAAAAGAAGGGTTCCTCCACAACAAATCTGTTTCAAATGTAAAGTATGAATTCTAGTGAAGTATTAATTATTTTAGTTAGTGTTTCCAAGGCTACATCTATAATACTACCTTTGTTAGAAGTTCTTAGAAAGCTCTGTATGTGGTGGACTCTATTCTCTATTCTGTTCAATTATTTCAACACGAATGGAAGACTTACTGTGTGTCAGAAATTATGCAGAGGACAATAAATGGAAATAAGAATGTTCTGACTCATCACTACTTTGCAGTCTGATGCGCATAACATATATTTTATTTATATACAATATAAATGTATACTTATATCTACACTAATAAAAGAGAAACATGCAAATTAACCATCACTCCATCACTCCGCCACTCCACTACACCCACCAGCCAATCAGAGCAACTATGCAAATTAACCCAACAAAGATGGCGGTTGATTTGCATAAGCAGGCACGGAGAAAAGACTGAAGACTGAAGATGGCAGCAGCCACGGAGCTGGAACGAGCAGGAAGCTTGGGTTGCTCCCAGAGACGGAGGAAGCCAAGCTTCCCGCCGGCCCTGGACTCCACTCAAGCAGTGGCTGGGGACCTGGGTCACCGGGGGCAACCCAGGATTCCAGTCCACCCTGGGCTCCGCTCAAGGAGTTGAGAAAAAAAAAGGAGGGGCTAGGAGCAGCCAGAGTGGAGACCAAAGGCCTGGGTCCCGGGTGCTGGAGGAAAACCAGTGCCTGCAGCCAGAGGAAGGAAGGCCTATTGCGCGAATCTTTGTGCAACAGGCCACCAGTACAAATATAAAATTAGTGGAAAAGAAAGAGGTTCATTCTGTCTGTGGTGCAGGTCAAATGAGGAACTTTTCAGAGTGGATGGGGCATAGGTGACATCTGAAACGGCCTTCGTGAATGAGGGGGACTTGACTCATCAGAGTTGCAAGGAAAGGGCCTCTGGGCAGGAAACTGTGAGATTGCAGGAAGTCACTGATGTGGCTCAAGTGGACAGGGTATCGATCTAGGAAAGGGCAGTTGCTGGACAAGTTAGAGGCAGAATATACAGAGCCTTGAATATAAATTAAAGCATTTTATTTGCAATGTGGATAATAAGGATGTTTCAATGATCATAAAGCAGATGGGTTATGTGAACATAAATGAAAACATGGGAGGAAATGTGAGGAGGCTGGGGAAGAGGTCTGGAGGGTGAGTTAGATGAAGAAAGACTAGAAAGGTCAGGGAGACCATGGCTGATGATCTTGATCATGTTCAAGGGACAGGCAAGCACTGAGAGAGTAACAGTTTACTTCCTTACTTCAGGTTCCACTTATCCTATTTTATATTTGTATATAAGTATAAATGTGTATTGTATATAGGTAACATATATGTTATGCATATCAGACTGCAACGTAGTGAATCAGAACTGTGTTGTTTCCATTTTTGCATCCTCTGAGCCCAGCATAATTTCTGACAAATAATGAAGCTGATCCTATCCTGGGTTGTAGAGCTCAGTTTCCAAGACCCATGGATATGCCATTCCACCTTAGCTCTGGCTGTTCGCCTGGCTAATACACAATGATACAGATCTCCCCCTCAAGTTCCCACCAGCTTAATTAGACAGAGAAGGTGACAAAGTTATTCAGAGATACTATGCACTATCTAATTAACCTTTACTTTTACTCAAAACTTGCAACTCAGAAGGAGACCTTTAATTCCAAACATTTGATTATCTCCTCACAGATTCATGCACGTTGAGAACTATAAGTAATGAAAGCTTGGTAGAAGAGGTCACTCATGTGGGACGTCAGCTTTGGATCAGCCTGCGAAGTGGTCTTATCTCTACACTGGGTGCCTGTGAGGACAGGACAGCACGCACAGAGGAAGAGAGGAGAGGTACTCACTTTCCTTCCTATGTGAGTAACTCGGAGAGGAACCTCGTTATTTCATCTCATTTGTCCTTCACTTCCAGACTCCTAGACTCATCCATAGTCAACTGCAGCTCACACACACATTTCAAAGCCAAAGGGTACATGATCTTTGAATATATGAATCAAATTTCCTTTAAATCAGCATGTGCTACTCCATACTTCAAAGAAGGAACTTACTGGCTTGTTAATCCAGAGTATGTCAGCGTTGTCTGACAAAGACTCATCAGGACCGAAGTCGGTCACCGGCTGGGCTTCCACCCTGGAGCTCTGTTTCCTTTTGAGCATGCTGGAGTTAGCTCTGGTGAGGGAGCACAAGACGGCAGTCTGGGGAAAGAGAGTTGTGTTAGTGGCCTAAACCGTCTTTACCCTGATCACTCAAAAAACAAGTGCCTAATGGATGCCCATTCATATATTGATCACACACTCATTCCATTACACTGTACATAATAAACATATGCAAACAGAAATTTTAAAAGAATGCGATAAAAATCAATATGAATAAAAGCTTGATTTTTTTTTCTCGCGACCCAATAGATCATCTTGTGTACTTCTTAAACAGTTTGCATGCCAGTTTAGAGACCACTGGTCTAGATGAACTGGAGTGAAATAGCTTTCCCCCTAAGAGTACACACATTAGTAGGAAATTTTTCGAGGTCTATGTTCATACACCTAAAGCTGCCTCCACTTAAAGGTAGTCTTGCCAGAGCACAGCTGACCAATGCAGATGAAATACTCAGATGTTCCCAGGATTTTCCCTCTGGTTAATGTGATGGTACACTCACAGACATCTGCTTCCAATGACAGCCCCAAGTTGATCTTCTGAGTGTGTCCTTGCCATGATGGATGTGAGCCAGAGAGCATGGGGCAGAAATTACTGTAAATGGAGTTGTTTTTTCTTTTATGAATTGTATTATATCAATTCTTTCAGCTACTCTGAAGTAAACCCAGATTACATTGCAGAGGGAGAGGAGATGCTTGCTTGCATATAAATTTCCACTATTGTGAGTCATCTACATCTTGCTATATGTCACCTCCCTTTAGCCATTGCTACCACCCTCCATCCAGTAGCCACTGAACGGAAGCCTACCGTACGTCCTGCTTTCAGGACACAAACGTGAGTAAGTGCAAGAGATGTTGTAAAGGCAGGTGGTGCCTGATGACCCTGTGTATCCACAGAGAGATTTCTTATTTGATTAACACCTGGATTGAGTCTTAGAGGAAGAAGAGGAGTGAATGTATTTGGGATATATACTATGTTTGGGGCACTTTGCAATGATATTTTACTTATTCTTTACAACTAATGGAAGAAAGGAAACATCTAGTCTTTTTATGAAAGCACTGGAAACTCCAGTCTTGGGGCAGCTAATAACTTGACCAAGGCCACCTAGGCAAACTTGAAATTTAAAAGAAGCTCTATTTGGTTACAAAACCTAAGGTGTTTATCCTTGATCACACTGATGTTGAGCACTGATTAGGAGGATTTCTAAAAGATAAGGGAGGGATTAGGCCCTCCAGGCAGCTCATAGTGGTGAAGATGCCATGTCAAGAAAATGCAGTAGTGTTAACACCAGGCAGGTGCACTGGCTCTTTTATCTGCTGCTGTGTGAAGCTAGAGAAAGAACCAAAACCAAGGACAATGAGTGCCATTCAATCCCGGAGGGAGCAGAAGATGGAAACAACGTGTTTATAGCATGTGCAACTGTAATTTTTACTGGGAAGGAAAACACAAAAGCTCAGGACAAATGGATGTTGAATCTGAGTCCCTATGTTTGAGCACCTACCTCTACATCTATGTTCTCCATGATGCACCTAGGTAGGTAGGTATATGTGCCTAACCCTCCTATTCACAGAAGAAACCAAACTAATTTGCTTTAAGATATGCTAGGTATTTCCAGTTTGTCTTGTCCTGAATATTGGGTTTAAATATGAACTTTGCAGTATGCTGCACTAATTAATTTTATTTTACATAATTGGAGTTAGGGACACTTGACATCAATATGTAAATGTATGCAAAATATTCAAATTATGCTTGTTCTCTGATTTACTGTGGGGGGAAACATCTGGTGGCCTCAATTTAAGATGCTTCTTGAATGACAGTCTCTTATGTACCCAAAACTGAATACAGAATCTTTTAGAAATCCTTCAAGATTATACAATGCAGAGGATAAGATAAAGAGTGGCTTCACAGTGTTGTTCAAAAGTAATATAAGAAAATTTTATAGACCTAGCTACTAGCTTTAATATCACTTTCATTGAGTCAGTGGAGACTTATGAATGGCCATTTACTGTTCTTCTGACTTGGCCCTAAATTGCATCTGAAAAAATATTTTATTCATAAATGTGACACCTTTGTATATGAATGCCATGCACTTTTATTATAAATACCTCATCCAAAGCAAAACAAGTGATTACAGATTTGTTTATCCAGAATTCATTTTTTTTAAATCTCCATGTTGGCTATTATTTGGCCCACCAAAATAATGTAACTATAATGAGTGACATTAGTTGTCATCCACTTTCACCTCATTTTACCTACTGCAAAAGCGCCACCAACTCAAACTGCCCAAGAAAACTATCTGAACTATCTGTCCAAACTCTGCATATATTAAAACTCAACAACTAGCTCCTGAATCACTGACATTTTGACCAATTTAATAATATTAAATATTATGTAAAGCATGCAAGTAGCAAAATTAATTCAAGTTACAGACATATAAAGACTCCAAGATTAATGTGAGGAAATAGATTGTAATAATTTTCCTTTACATACATAAATATTATTTTTCACATTCATTTATGTTGAATCAATATATCTGAGTGCAGCAAACCTGTTAGTCCCCTGATAAAGAACAGCAGGCATATTTAAGTATCCTAGGTAAGCTTATTATTTTGATAGGAAATTGCTTCTGTGTATCTTAGCCTTATCACCATTATGTATTTATAACCTAATATTTTTTCTGTTTTCAGAAGTGTCTTTTATAAAGCACTGTATTAAATTAAAAACTATATGGCTTCCAGTAGATGTGTCACACTTTTTAAAAGTAGTTGGTATTTAAATATTCAATAGTATGAGGAGGCCACACAGCTACAATATGTTCATTGATAAATCTTTTGCTCAGACAGAAGAGGTACTTTGGTTCATTTGTTTTATTTTCAGTGGTCGAAATCCAGCTTTATATCCTTTGATAGCTATATACTTTCCTTAGGTCATTCCAGCTCTCTCTTGACCAAATTAAAGCTAATAAATTCAGTTTTCTTTTACTGTGACGTGTTACACTATAGGTCATTTCTTCTCCTTGTAAGCCTCTCAGGTTTGCATGAAACTGTTTTGAATCTTCTGTCTTCTAAATTATGGTTTACAGCATGTCCCTTACTTACTGTCCCATGTGTCTGTTCTCTATACTCAACCTCTGAAATGAGCATCTGCTCTTACAATTTCCACCACCATCTGTTGGTGTCCAGCTACTGTTACTGAATCATGTATCTATGCTGCTTCTCCCTTAGATATAGGCCATACCACCACCATCATCACTTAAAAATCAACAGGCCGACTTGATATCAGTCTCAATTTCCAGATCCCACTGCCCTGAGCTTTTCAGGACCCACGTGCAGGTCCCACATCTGCAGAAGGACTGCATGGATATTCTTTTCACAGGTTTTCACAGGTGATTTCTTTTGTCATTCCTCATTCCATTGGTATACAAGGCCCCTTTCACTTTATCTCCATTGCTAGAGCCCTTCCTAAGCCACGGGACCTCAGATCTGGACTGCCACAAATATCAACTATTTAAATATACCCTGTCCTTCATATCAGAAATCAACTTCCCAACACACTGATAGGGTCTCTCCAGAAAAACCTCAGCTTATCCTCTTTTTCTCATTCATTCACTCATTCATTCACACAGAAAATACACGCATCCATATGGTATCAGACACTGGGATATATACTGGGTACACAGCATGGAACAGCAAAGGCATCTGTAGAACTTACAAATTGCCTGCTTTACTTAACCTGATGTTTCAAGGACACAGTCCCACTGAGTTTACTTGCGTTTCCTTTCATACCTATACCCACATGCTCTACTTGAATTGGTGAAACATACCATTACCCACCATCCTTCAACCTTTCTCAGCCACTTCTGCTCCTTTCTTCCAGCAGTGCCCTCTTTGTTGTCTGCTGCCAGTCCCACAGCAGACCTTCCTAGTCCCTTACTTAACTCATGAAGTGTTATGTTTGTGTGTGTGATTTGTTTAACTGAAAGATTTAAAGTTTGGGGATAAAAGTGTAAACAAGAGAAACATACCTCTCTAGTAGACTCACAGCATCTAGTTGATGCTAAAAAGCCCCCAAAGAATACATAAGTCAGTGATTTATTTTTAAGCATTAGGTGTCACTACAACTGACAGCACCCCAAAATCAACCACTGTTCTTCTGGTCACGTATGTGTACAAACTGAGGCCTTTACCAGTAAAAGGGTACAGCCACTATGGAAAACAACATTGGGGCCCCTCAAAAAGTTAAAAATAGAACTATCAATTTTTAAATTTTTTTTGTTAATCCTCAACCAAGGGTATTTTTTGCACTGATTTTTAGAGAGAGTGGAAGGAAGGGAGAGGAGAAGAGAGAGAGAGAGAGAGAGAGAGAGAGAGAGAGAGAGAGAGAGAGAAACAATAGATCCAGAGATAAGGAAGCATGGAACAGACTGAAGAATCTCAGAGGGAAGGGGGAAGGGGGAAGGGGGAAGGGGGAAGGGGGAAGGGAAGAGATTAACCAAAGAGTTTATATGCATAACCAATGAACATAGACAACAGGGAGGTGAAAGCATGGAGGGGAAGGAGTGGGGTGGAGGGGTTCAATGGGGGAAAAGGGGGACACCATTAATACTTTCAACAATAAAAATAAATTTTAAAAAAACAAAAACACAGAACTATTATACAGCCCAGCAACTTCACTTTTAAGCCTTTATCTAAAAAGAATGAAAACTCTCACTCCATCTTGAATGGCTAAAACTCCCATCATTCTTCAAGCCCAGATCACCTTGGTTCCCCAGTAAGGGCACTGAAAACCATGTCCCACACTCTCTCAGCACTGCACCTCCTTCCATGAGCTCACTTCTCACAGCCCCTACAGCCCATGCTGGACTCCAGCAACCCCAGTGTCTCCCGTTTAGTGGTACCCATTAGTTGCCTTTGATGTTAATAATCAAAACCATTTAAGGGAAAGTATTAAATACAGAATCTGTTCTAAAATTGAATAAATATATACTAAACCAATTATTTTATAAAAAAAATTATCCTCAAACACAGAGAGAAAGAGAAAGAGA